TATTACATTCATATGGGAAAAATAGTACTAGGCAACCAGAGAGCATTTTTTACGTTTTGCTATTTAATTCATATCCCTTCTTTGTCCAAATTCTTCTATATACATCTTTTCCAGCTGTGCTCCAAATGTTCCTGGCCGTCTCTTTATGAATACTCCTTTGAGGCCTCAAACCAACATTTCTAAAACTGAACTCCTGGCCAGACTAGTGGCTCATGCCTGTAATCCCCAGCACTTTGTCAGGCTGAGGTAGGAGGATTCCTTGAGGTCAGGAGTTCGAGACCAGTTAGGGCAAAATGGCAAGATCCCTTTTCTGCAAAAACTTAAAAATAAAATAAAACTGAACTCCTCATCTTCTCTCCCACTCTACATCCTCTCTGATATTATTTAGTCTTGGCAAATGCATCTTTATTGTCCCAGTTCAGTGGCCAAGTCAAAACCTGCATCTCACTTTTGACTCTTCCCCTTCTCTTTTCCAACACGTCCAATCAATCATTAAGTCTGTCTCACCTACCTCTCACATCTGACCACTAGTCTCCCTTCCCCATTCTTACTTCCCTAGCTCAGACTATCATCGCTTTTTCCTGGATTACCATGACTCTTAACCAGCCCTTCAGTCTCGAGCTCTGAGCTCTGCCCCACCCCAATGCATTCCCCACAAAGTAACCTGATGAATCTTCCCAGAATGTAAATCTCAACCCCTCACTCACACAGGCACTCCATAGCTCAAAACTCTTTAGTTGCTTCACTCTCCCAGGACAAAGTCCGAGCGTCTTTAGGTGGCCAAGGTTCTACATTAGCCTCTCCAGCCTCCTTTCTTTCCTACCCCTTCCTCTGTTATGATCTATCCATCCAGAGCTTTCAAGCTGTTTAAAAGGGCCATTTTTTTTTGTCCCCATTTTCTGAAATTCTCTTCATCTCCACTTCCCCACCTGCATCTGGCCAACTCTCCTTGATCTTTCAGCTCTCAGCTTACACTCTTCCTCCAGAAGCTTTCTCCTACAGCCGCATGTCCTCTTAGGTGTTTCCCCAGCACCCTTGTCCGCTGTGGCCACTATCAGATACAACATACCTGTATTCCCTGCTACAAGACCAGCTTTAAGATGGCGTGTCTCTCTTGCTCACCAGAGTATCCCCAGCACCCAGCTCAGACCTGGCACATAGTAGAGCTCAATTAATTTACTGGTTGAAAAAATATATTACTTGGCTTTTATATTCAATGCTGATGTTTTACCTCTGCATATAAGTCACTTCTACTCCCTCATCTCAACAGATAAACCAGAAACAAGAGGGAGCCAAAAGGAAGAGATGCCCGTATTTATGCTGTTCTTAGGAGCATAACCCTGTCCCCTACAAAAGCACACACACAGAGAAAGCAACTGAAAAAGTCTACAGCAACAAGGTCTTATGTTTTCTAAAATTTTAAGATTTCAGTGATGAGACAGCTTAGGTTCACTTACAATTGCGGAAACTGATTTCCATATTTATCAAATGAGAGATAACTATTTAGAGACAGAGTTGTTTCCACCTACAAACTTTCCACATTAGTGTCCAAAGGGTCATAAAATAAGATTTCCTTTGGGGGTAAAGTATGCTAAAAAGCAGCAAAAAAAATAAATGCATCACGAGTATTAATTAGAGTTAACTATTTATCAGTTCAGTGCAAACACGTTTAACATTTCAAAGACCTTTTTTCTCCATAACTACCTACTTTAAGAAAGGATACTAAAGAGTGTGATTTAAGACCTTAATGACAAGTTCACATTTGTACTGAAGACTGTCTGGATTTTAGATTTTAG